ATTGAATCAAGGTCTGGTTCTGATTTGAGGACGATTCTAAAATAGTGGGTCCATTTTCATCCACTGCTTTTCTCTTTATCCCTGTTTGCTTTTTTTCACTTAATTTCTTTAATTCCGACTCTTCCAGCTCAACGTGTACAGACTTATAGTTTCTTGCTAAATGTAGCTAGAAAAAAATTAACATATTTACATAATTTTTTGTTTGTATATTTATATGTTTATTTATCTATCTGTTTATCAATTAATGTATAAATAAATTCGTATACGTTATTGAATAATTACTCTAAAATGATAAAAATGAGTCGTTTGTTTCAAAATGAAAATATATCCTCTAACAGATAAACTAACTTTAAGATTTGTTGGGTTCTTTCCACACATTTTTGTATTGCATACTTTTTCACCATCAAGTAAAACTAAACATACTGATTTGTCGGATGACGCATCGTATTTAAACCATTTCCATACTGAACTATTCCTCTTCCTACCAGCAAAAAGTTTACTCAAACTCATCGCGTAGTTGTGTTGGTCTTACAGTTTGATTTTTTTTAGTTCGAAAAAATATATTCGAATAAATATATTCGAACTATATCATAATTAAACTTATTCGAACTTAATTGAAGAAAATTCAATTAAGTTCGAATAATATATCATTATAACGTATTGTAATATAATAATTATATATATCAAATAATTCAACTCGTTTCAAATCTAGAACGAAAATATTTCGTTTTAAAATAATTTTCGATTCAGTTTTTATTCCGTTCGAAAATTTAAAATTATCGTTTTTATTCTGTTCTCGTTCTTAAAACAAATTTCGTTTTAGTTTTCGTTTTCGTAAACGAAAGGCTTTTTTTTTTCGTTCTCGTTTTCGTTCTCGTGTACGAAAATATCACTGTATATATATATATATATATATATATATATATATATATATATATATATATATATATATATATATATATATATATATATATATATATATATATATATATATATATATATATATATATATATATATATATATATATATATATATATATATATATATATATATATATATGTATATATATATATATATATATATATATATATAAATTTATATATATCTATATGTATATATATATATATATATATATATATATATATATATATATATATATATATATATATATATATATATATATATATATATATATATTTACATCTATATCTATATCTATATATATATATATATATATATATATATATATATATATATATATATATATATATAATATATATATATTTATATCTATATATATATTTATATCTATATATATATATATATATATATATATATATATATATATATATATATATATATATATATATATATATATATATATATATATATATATATATATATATATATATATATATACATTTATACTATATCATAGTATAGTTTTCATATATTTATATAAGTTCTTGATTTCAATAATAAACGATTACTTACAAATATAATATTGATCAACACTGAAATGCTGTTCGCATATGAATAACTTTCTGGTACGAATATGTTTTCGTAATTATTACTTTATATATATATATATATATATATATATATATATATATATATATATATATATATATATATATATATATATATATATATATTTACATCTATATCTATATCTATATCTATATTTATATCTATATATATATATATATATATATATATATATATATATATATATATATATATATATATATATATATATACATTTATACTATATCATAGTATAGTTTTCATATATTTATATAAGTTCTTGATTTTAATAATAAACGATTACTTACAAATATAATATTGATCAACACTGAAATGCTGTTCGCATATGAATAACTTTCTGGTACGAATATGTTCTCGTAATGAAGCATCGATAACCCTATCTTTAGTAATAACATGTATCAAATCATCACCCCATTTTTTGTTGAACTCAGAATTAGATAAAGGGACTTTAAAAAAACTGATTCCTTTATTACATCTTGATGCCGAACACCCATATATAGCACAATTTTCTCCAGGCATTATAAATCAAAACAAAAACACAGTTAAAACTCAAGAATAATAAGGAAAAATTTGCGAGTTGTGTAGGATGGGAGAGCTGGAACCGATATTTTTTTTAATGAAAGAGTTAAAACAATAAACCTTTGTTCGTTTGCGGACTATCTATTTCTTGTGACTATGTTTTAATGTATTTGAAACATTTCTTTCGCTTCTTTTTTAAATTCTTTGAACATTTCTTTTACAAGTTTCTTTATTTCTGAAAATCTTACAGCCATATAATTTAATTAAAAAATTTTTATTAATTATTTTCTTTATTTATAAAAATAAAAAGTTTTTTTTTTTTTTTTTTTTTTGTCGCCACGAGGTAAAAAGTGCGTCCGTTCTTATTGAAAGCTTGAGTTAAAAAAAAAAAATATTTTAACATGAAAATAATTTTCAAAAATTGTTATTAGTATTTTAAAAAATTTTATAACGATTGTAGTAACAAATTATTATTGTTTTTTTTTAAATTGCTTTTTGAAAATAATACTTTTAGTAATATTGTTATGGTAAAAACTATTTTTAATACAGTTAATAAACTCTTTCGCTGGTATATGACCATATACCAACTAAAGAGTTTATTAACTCTTTAATAGCTAAAGCTAAAAAGTTTATTAACTCTTGAACCCATAAATATGGGTTCAAGAGTTAATTAAATAATTATAATATTTTGTATTATAATTAAATAATTATAATATTTTGTATTATAATTAAATAATTATTATATTTTGTATTATAATTAAATAATTATAATATTTTGTATTATAATTAAATAATTATAATATTTGTCCTTTTATTTTGCAATAAAAATAAGAATGTTTAGTGAAAATATATTCGATAATCTGAAATCAAATCTTTTTAATTTATAAAGAAACTCAAGTTAAGTAGCAATCTTTAGTTTTTAAAATAGTTACTTCTGCACAACTGTGTGCTTTTTTTATGTGATGCAAACATGGTTAAAGACTAGAAAATGGTCAGCAGGATTGGCATAGGGGGGAGTAGGGTATTGGTAAATACGGGAATAGGCGGAATAGTGGGGTATTGGTGAATACGGTAATAGGCGGGTATGCAAATTAAAGATACCAGTTATAATAAGTGGTAGCGCACTTGCCTTAGAAACAAAAGATCCGTGATTCAAACTACACATATGGGCAAGTTTTGCGACACCGGTTAAAACGGAGGCGTGAACTTCCGATTAAATGCTCATCCGCGTTTCTCTGTAATAAAAAAGAGAAGAATTCTTGGGATGTTTAAACAACATTATACAAATTCCAAACACGCCTTAGGGTAATTACAAACACTGTTGTGTTACAAAGAATAAAATGCAAGTTGTAATAACTAAGTGAAGAATTAAAGTCAAAACTTAATTTTTGTTCACCTCCACCAGACCTTACAATTGTAACACATAATCCAGTCTTCCATGGAAAGATCATAAAATAATTCATTGCAGCTTAATACATCACTCTTTCAAAAAAAAAATTTTAATTATTAATTATCAAAGAATTACTATAAACAAAAGTCACAAACAAAACCCCGGAACGTACTGTCACCAATCGTAATATTTTGAGCAACCAGGAATGGCATTTATGACATATGATCCAGTCTTCTGTGGATGGATCCTTATGCTTTTCTTCGTAATTTTAGGAAAAAATTCTCTCTTACCTGGGTCTCTATTTTTCTTCACATGATGGTACATGATCACGCATTGTCACATGCACATGGTCACGCACATTAAAGTTCTTCTTTCTCATTTTACTTTTCCCAGTAGTATTTTTTAATTTTAAATTCTTACTTTTTCTTTTGCTCTAAATATATCTCATTGGCAAACTAGTAATAATAATAGAATGTTTTATCTTAAACATGGTTTCTTAAACACGGATTAAGCTATGGTTTTCACTCTGCTAAATGAAATAAGGCATTTAATAATTCAACTGTTACAAATATATTGACAAAAAAAAGAAATATTGAAGTTACGGTCGCTTGAGGTCCGTTTGTTATCAATGACAACCTAAACGTTCAAAATTGCCCCTCTAAATGGTTTGATATTTCCCCGCGGACCCAATCTAGTGCAATACGATTAGTGTATTGAGGTTGTGTTGACATACCCAAACTATAATAAGGTTTTGAATTTCCTTGATGCACAATGCAACAACAACAATAAATGAAGTAGTTTTATAACCATTGTAGCTACAATATGAATGTTTCTTAAATAAAACGTTATCAGCAAAAGTTGATGTCAATTATTAGAAATAATGAGCACAACTTTACTACACTATTGCACGTCTGGAATTGAGTTTGAAACAATTTTTCAGCAGACAAAAATTAATTGTCAATTATCTTTTTATATTTTGCCGTTATGATCATGTTTTGAGTTACCCTGCGTTTACAGTTATCACACTCTTCTCTAATCGAAACAGCGATGCCAATTGAAAAGCGAACTTGGCAAATATTAGTAAATAGACAGCATCAACGACGCGTTGGAGACAATTATAATCTAATAATAACCATGCATTGACAATGAATGAAGAGATTGCTGGCTACCTCCAATAAACATCCAAGGACGTTCTGTGCCTACTGGATGCGACTGATAAAATTTACTTGCTTGCTATTTATTTGATTCAAGTAATTCATTTTAACAAAAAGCTTCAAATAATAAACTAATATTTTTCAACAAAATATAAAACAACTTTTGAGTATTAAAAATTATATAGAAACTTATGATAATCATAATTAGGCGCTTCCAATAACTATATAATCAAAATAAGTAGGATGGAAGGTTTGATTTTTTTTTGGCGTTGTTGAAAAGGGCTGGGGAGGTATTCAAAATATGTTGAGATCAACAATTTCAATTTTTTGAAAAAAATTTATTACTTAAACAAAATGTTTATTTTTTTATTTTAGTTTTATTAAGGTAAGGAGGAGGGAGGTTAATCAATAACTGACGTAATTTTAACAGTACGTTTTTGGAAGTTTGACAGTAAAATAAAAAGGGAACAAGAGGGGAGGAAAAAAAGTGGAAAAATATTCAAATAATCAATAGACTGCCACTTATTGTAAGTTTAATGTTATATTGATTATATATATAAGAAATATATTTGCTCTAGCATATTTATAACGTGTGTTATTTCCATTTTTATTAAAACATTTATGTTTCAGATCATAAATTTTAACACAATTATTGTGTTTTGTTATTTAACGAAGTGACACCTTTTTTATTTTTGTTGTATATCTTTTAAGTTATCGTAACTTGACTCCTTATTTTTTAATTGTATGATGTTAAATTTAAATTTTTATTTCAGTTGGTTCTTTATACTAAAAGAAGTTCAACTAAGTTCTGCTCAGACGTCGACATCAGAAATGGTAATTTAACATTTCATTTGACTTATAATGATAAAGTTTAGTTGTTTTGTTGGTAAATAAATTTATTAGATAACAATAAATATTTTGCAATTATTTAATAGGGATGTCTCTTTTACTCTTTTTTATTTAAAAAACCATAATTAACTTCAACGTATATTTCTTCACTTAACTAAAACTGAAAGGCGTAGTTTACATTATATTTTAACATAAATCTATGTAACTCAATTAACTAAGAATTGTTTTTTAAAAGAGTAACTGTTACGTGAAAATATATTTTGTTTTTACAAGTAAATGTAATTTGCATTGAAAAACGATCTTCCTAAACTTAATGTTAAATCGTGAAAAGTAATTTACTTTAAATAGTAATTTTTGTTGAAATAATGTAAATAAATTACGAAGAAATGTAGTTTATTTTTTTCATGCAAAAAAGTTATTTATAAAGTAATCTTACGTAAATATTTGATATAAAATATAGAATACATACTTTACAAAGTAAAATAAAACCTCATCATAAAAATAAATTGCTTTTATATGTATAAGTAACTATCTATCACACTCAGGATACATAAAAGCTTAGAATAAAGTTGGTAAATAAAGTTGTTATTTACAATTACAAATATAAGCAAGTTTTGTGTTTGTAACTTTTACTTCAATTTGTATGTAAGTAAAGTGTAACTTATAATATTTACTTTCTCAAAGAACAGTCATTCCATGTTAGTTAAACATAATTTTTTAATAGTATGTTATAATTCGAATATTTGAATAGTAATTTTATTTATAATGTATTTGAAGCTATTGCTTGTTTGCGTAGACTTTAAGCTAAAACGTTATGGATAAGTCTGTGGATGGACATTGTAAAATGATTTTTTTTTCATGTATATCATGAAGGTTGAGTCTATTATAAATAAGTTTAAAATATGGTCAACATACAGGTATACCAGTAGCGTAGAGAAGGGTACCCTGCTAACGTAGAGAAGAGTACCCTGTTAACCATAAATAAGGCACTGTTTAATTAGAGCGCGCATTTTCTAAAGTTTTTTTTTTTTTTTTGTGTTTGCCTTTTTACCTAAAGTTTTATTATGGTTATAAAACGCATCATAAAATAGTTGGTATCTGCAGGAGTATCGACTGCTTAAACAGTTTATAAGTAGACAAAAAAGTATTTTATTCAGGGTAGAAGCTGTTGCGCTAATCAAGTTATCGTAAACGTTAATCATTTCGATTGGCTGATTATACTAAACAATTAATATCCACCTTGGGAATATGTATATAAATAGCGTGCTTATCGAAGTCTCGCTCTCTTGGAGTAACCTACCAAACATCAACGGATTCGAGCAACTGTTCTACTATTAGCTGTGATCTACAATATCTTTCTTGTGTTTATTGCATATTTGTATATAATATATAAATTATAATAACTTGAACTCGTTTTACAATACGACTCTTACGTAAAACAACAGAAGCCTTTTAATGATATCTTAAAGCTTTAGAGGCAAAAAAAAACACCACGCCAAACACACTTTGAGGCAAACTAAGTTTTAATTATAAAATTTTTATTTTATTGCATTACTTTTGTACAAGATCCTCTTTAAAGTATTGTAAAATATAAGTAAACTTTACTACTTATTATATATGGAATAATTTAAATTCATTTTACAAATTATATAATATTATATTTTAAATAAAATTATATGTAAACTTAAGCAATTTAAATATAATTTTACATAATTTTCTAAAATAAAAACTTAATATTAAAATTAAAATAAAAAAAGCGTTTTTGAAAAATATTTTATCCGTACACTTAATTTACATTTATTTATTTTTATTTTATTTATTTATTTATTTCGTCATTAAATGAATAATCTTTTACAATGTTTTTTTTACAACATAAAAATTATAACATTAAAGTTTCGACCGGAGCTGGCAGAAGACATGATCTTATCATCCAGCCCCGTTAATATAACTAAAAAATTCAGCCGATAAAAATGAAAAAGGAAAAAAGAAACTAAAGCAAGAGCTGATTTTAAGAAAAAAAGAACTTAAAAATCAAATTATTATTTACAAAAAAAGAAAAAAAAAAAAAAAAAAAATATATATATATATATATATATATATATATATATATATATATACATACATATATATATATATATATATATATATATATATATATATATATATATATATATATATATATATATATATATATATATATATATATATATATATATATATATATATATATATATATATATATATATATAATATATATATATATATATATATATATATATATATATATATATATATATATATATATATAAATTATTTCTTCTCATTATAATTTTTTTTTTTTAATTCTCTATTTTATTCTACTTTTATTTTTATTATACACGCACGCACACACACATACGCACACGTACACACAAATATATGTCCGTTCATATATACATACAAATCAAATAAATCTGTATTACATTCCATCTACAAATTGCGTAAGATATAATAAATATTGCATTTACAAATTACGTATTGTAAAATAAAATAATATCATACATGTTCTAAGTACCATACAATATAATTGTGATGTTGAGTCAATTTATAAGACATTAAATAAATAAGATTACCAAAAGTTTTTAATAATACTATAGTAATTGCTTTGTGTCAAAACCAAATAAGTGTTGTTTTGTTGCACGTTTAAAATATTCAGTTGAATTTAAAGTTTTTATATTACTTGTTAAAAGCAAGTTCCATAACCGCGGCCCTCGGCAAGATATCGAAAAATCAGCTTGTTTTGATAATGTTTTTGGTATATTAAAATTATTTGTTGAGTATTTAGTTTCGTATTTGTGGTTTAAAGAAAAAAAATAAGTTTGGAAAATGCTTGGTAGCATACCATTTTTAAACTTAAACATGAAAATAAGTATATTAAGAATATTTATTTCATAGACATTAGGCACTCCAATTTCTCTTAGTAGTGGTTTGGCACTAGCGTATTTATTTGCATTTAATATCAAGCGAATTGCTCGTTTTTGTATTTTGTAGATCATATTTAACTTTGAAGGATAAGTACTTGCCCAGATAATGTTGCAGTAGCTGATGTAGCTATGAATAAATGCAAAATAAATGTTTTTTAAACAATTTGTGTTTAGGAGATGTTTTGTTTTATACATAATACCAACAATTTTTGATATCTTATTTTTTATTAGTTTGATATGATTATTCCAGCTAAGATGTTCATTAAGAATTACGCCTAAAAATTTGATTGAGTATTCTCGTTTAAGTTTAGTTTTATCAATTAGTAAATCAGGTAGTTTTGAGGGGAGGGTTTCAGATTTTGATAATTTTGTAAAAAAAATATATTTACTTTTTTTGATATTTAAGGAGAGTTTGTTAGCCTTAAACCATTCGTTCAGGTTTTCAAGTTCTTGATTAACAGTGTTAAATAATAGGCTAATGTTTGTGTGGCTAAAGAACATTTGCGTATCATCGGCAAAAAGGACAAAGTTAAGTATGTTAGAAGATAAGTAGATATAAACGAGGAATAATAATGGACCAAGAATTGATCCTTGTGGAACCCCACAAGTAATGTCTTCAAGTCGTGTTACAGTGCTTTTATATGATAAAGCTTGTTTCCGATTATTAAGGTAAGAGCGAAACCATTTTAAATTGTTATTTCTTATTCCATAATTATATAGTTTAAAAGAAGAATTTTGTGGTCAAACGCTTTTGAGAGATCGAGGAATACCCCAAGAGTGTATTTACTGTTGTCAAACCCATTTTAAATTTCATTGACAAGTTTGGCTACAGCGTGTTCTGTTGAATGGTGTTTTTGAAAGCCATATTGGTTATTATTTAGTACGTGGTGGTTTACTAGATAATTGTTTAGCCTATTGTGCATTATGCGCTCTAATATTTTTGAAATGCATGGCAAAATAGAAATAGGCCTGTAGTTAGAAGCAATCGAATCGTTTCCGCTTTTAAATATAGGAACAACTTTTGCTAGCTTTAGCTGGTCAGGGAACACCCTATTTTTTAAAGACAGATTACAGATATGCAGAAGGGGATATTCAATAATATCGTAGACATATTTTACAACGTTCACGCTTATGTCATCTAGTCCTGGACTTTTATTTTCTTGTAAGGTATTAAATGCATTTTTAAGCTCATCCGGAGTTATTTCGAGCTCGTTCATGACTGAGGCTTTTTTTTCTAGATACAGCTTATAACATTTTTTTCCACTAGTTATTTTATTAGCTAGTTTTTCCCCAATTTTGATAAAATAGTTATTAAATTTCTCTGCAATATCTATTGCCTTATTGGCTACTGTATCATTTTCATCTGTTTTTAAGTATTGCGGGAACACTTTGGTAGCATCTTTTTTTTTTCCTGTTACCTCTTTTATTACGCCCCATGTTTTTTTAGTGTTACCGCAATAATTTTCTAATAAATTGCAGTAATAGTTTTTTTTTGAATGTTTTTTTAATTTTTCAAATAAACTTTTGTATAGTTTATATATTTATTCGTTTTTAAAAGTCTTTTTTTTCAAAAATTTTGCATAAAGTTTTTTTTTTTTTTTTGAAGATTTAATAAGCCCTTTTGTCATACAAGGACTTTTAAGGTTTTTGAGTTTTGTTAATTGCTCAAGCTTGGGAAACGCTTTTTCGTACAAAGTTGTAAAAGTGTGTTTAAAAATATTGTAAGCTATGTTAGTTTCTTTGCAATTAACAACCTGGTCCCAGTTTTCCATTGATAAGTTGTTTCGGAACTTTGTTACACTTTTTTCATTTATTTGCCTTTTTGTTGTAATTATTGTTTTGTTTTCTTTTTTATTGTTAAAATTGTTAAGCTGAAGAAATATCGGAAAATGGTGACTTATGTCAATTTTTATTATTCCGCTTTGAATATTACATTTTATGGTAGTATTTGTAAATATGTTATCGATTAGGGTAGCTGTTCGGAGAGTTACTCGAGTTAGCTTATTTATTAAGGGTTCTACG